CCATGCAAGGCAGTAAAGCCACTAAAAGACAGGGGATTACAGGGTATGGAAGAATTAGTAACAGAAACATTAATAATGATGAGCAGAAAGAGAAAAGAGTAATCAGGTGGACAGTAGATAGCAATTGACATTGCATTTAAATTTTTGCAGATTAAAGTTGGCCAGAAAGCATGGAGCCTGAAACTTATGGCAACATCTTGCCAACTCAACTGGAAATTGATGAGATCTCATCAACAGTCTAGTACTGCACTTAAATTCATAAAATCTAAGTACTATTGTGAAGAGTTCATCCAAACAATTACCATGAAAGTATTTATAGAAAAGACACAGAGGCAACCTTACAGCGGTGGGAAAGTGATTGAAGCTGAGCTGCCAGATCAAGACCAATAATATTGCTGATTCTTTTTTGGGATCTTATTAAGGAGCTCAAGATAAATAGCAGGGGGACCAGACCATATATGACAACAATATTCTAAGCATGGCCGAATGGTAGACTTATAGATATGTAAGATAGTTTATGGCAAGAAAGATGAATGTGTATGTAATATATATAAGTAGACATTGATATCAACACCAAGTGGCGATTGTCTGTTTCATACTTGAATAAAATTTTCAGTATGAATATTGCATGCAAGCATGAAACAGACTGTCACCAGTTGATAAATACACACACACACATATATATATATATATATATATATATGATAGGATAAGAAACAAATAGGAAACATGAGTTTATCATGTTGTATTTTTATTAAAGCTTCATCAGAAAATATGGAAGAGAAAAGAAAATTCTAGGATTTTTATTTTTGTGTTGTTGTTGAAACTTTGATAAATGCAAAACATTAATTTTATAAATGTTTTCAATTTGATTCTTATCCTAACATTCCATCAGATTACAATCCATATAAATACCCACTAATAGATATAAAACATACTTTGAGGGTGACAAAAAATGCTTAATGTTTGATAGCAGAGCAAATATTAGTATTTATAAGAAAAGGGATCTCCAGTGATTGGACCCAACTCAGTTTCATGTGCATTTTTTTCTACACAATCCTCATGGTGCCAATGTTGTATTTTGTAATGGCATTTTTTTTTTTTTTTTACTAATATTAGTCCTTTGATTTTCAACCAAGAGTCAGTAGATACTCACCATGGTGAGTTCAATCAATATGTTGGAAGAATTTTATGTTTTTGGTTTTCCCTAGTTGGTATTTAAGGCCATCATTATGCATATAGCATTGGACAGTGGAGGATTGTATACAAAATGTGTGCATAAAATACTGAGTAAAGGCAGAATGTTGGAAATAGTTTTCCTATACATATAGGTACCACCAGAGAAAATATGACATCATAGGTTTAAAATGAATTTTTAAAAATGAAAAATCTTTCTTTTATTTTAGTGTTAATTTCAAGCTCATAGATTAAATTTAATATTTCTAATAAGCAAAATACTTTGCTATATTTCAAAATGAATTTAATTTGAATGGAATATTTTTTGGGGTGTTTTTTTGCTAAAATTGCTGATTAGTGTCTTTTTTTTTAGTTGTCTTTCATTGTAACTTAAGTCTCTTTATTAAAAAAACTTCCAAAAATATAATATGCTTTTCTTAAATTTATTTGAGGAATATTAGCTGATTTAAAGTATAATTATGATTTGAAACAAGTTAAATTTTTTAACACAGTGGTAGCTGTTTGTTTAAGTTGTTAACATGTTTCAGGACAGATTGATGTTGAACTAATGTTCTTTTGCAGATGCTTTAGCTGCAAGAAATAGTTGAATATAACGTGATTGTTTTTATATATAATTTTTAAGTACTCAGTAATCTTTAAAATTTAAGCAGATATTCTCTGTAATCTAATGTTTTATTGAATTTTAAATACTTTCTGGTTTTAAATTTAATGTTATTGCTCCTATTTTCTGATAATGTTGTGTATGGGCATCCATACCTACAAAAATTGACATGTTTATACCCATAAAAAAAAATGAAAATTTCTTTTGAAAATGTTGTTGTTTGGTGATTTGTAGCAAGCTATTCCATTTATGATTAGTAAATATAGTTTTTACTTAATAATAGTATCAGCTAAAAGAGTGAAATTAATATAGAATTTTAAAAGATTTAAAACTTAATAAATTATTCCAGTTAAAATTTTAAAAAAATGAAAACAATTGTAAAAATTCATTATTCACCAAAAAAAATTTTTTAAGACAATATTGTTCTTAATATATCTTATTTATAAGTACAATTAAAGCTTTTTTTCTCCTTAAATAATGTCATAGTTTTATTGCAATTTTTATTTTACTACTGAGAGCAGATTTTTGGTAAATGTTTCTATTTGACAAAAACAAATTGATAATTTGAATTTTCTAAAGAGTCCTTTTTTTAACTAATATAAGTATGAAGAGGGTGGAATTAATTTCTCAAAATGTCATAAACTTTAAATAATAATATTTAAATAATTATATATATTTTTTTTATATCTGTTACACGCACTTAATAGTGGAGGTAACAGATAAAAAGATATTTTTACCAAGATTTTCTAAAAAAAAAAAAACGAATTTCAAAAATAATTTCATTCATTTGCTAATAAGTCTTGAATATTTCATTAAAATCCAACAATTATTTGATTTTTTCAAGGATTTCCAAACAATGTTTTTCTTACCACAAAAAACACTAAAAATCCCTATACTAATCTTTGGCAAGAAAAACAAGATTTTTAACCAAAATTTTGAACAAGCTAGAAAGGATAAAAAAATTTCTAATAAAATAATCAAAAAATACTTTGATGTTTCCTCTTAATAATAATATAAACATTTTGACAATAAGACATTGTTTTTATCACGTTTGTGGCCTTTTTCATCATGGTATGCTCTTTTTTAGCAGTACCTACATATGTAATATCTGTTGTAAAAAAGGGAAGGTTAATAAAAAAAAGAAACCCGAAACTTTAAAAGTTGATGGAACTTGTGAACAGTTATGCAAATTCAGTTTTGCTTGACTTTAAAATTTTTTTTTTGTTTGTTTTTGACTCTGCAGTTTTTATAAAAACAAAAATAAACAAAAGATTAATTCAAATTTTTTTTATTTCTTCTCTTTTTTCTTCTCTGTGCATTGTGCCTGTAGAAAATAAAACTCAGATTTCAATTCATCATTTAATTCCTTGAAGGTGACAAAAGTACAACTAGATCCACATCAACCAGGCAGCTGAAAGTACTAATGTATAAACATAATGTAGAAGTCAGTATAGAAGAATCTTTATTAGAATCTTGATAGTCGATTTCAAGAATATGAAAATCTTTTCAAAAACTTCTTTTAGCTCTTATATGAACATTATAGGTATTTAGACTGGCACAAGGACAAAAGTACCTAGTGAGAATTAAAATCACTACACAATAGTAATTATTTTGTTACTGACAATGCAATGACACTACACCTATGAGATTTACTAAGCTTAGTCTGGTACAAGGTCACAATTCTGGGGCACCCAGGAAAATCAAACTCACTCATTTTAATGGCCTGCTAGACTAGTTCACTATCCATTACCCCATTACAAGAAATCCATAATATTCATTGAACTTAGTCTGGCAACTGGTCTACTGCAGAAGAAATAGCAACCTACTTTGGGAAAAAAATCTGCCTTGTCAGTCTTGTATCAAAAGATACATTATCACCTAAGCGTGTATCACGCATGGCACGTAACTGAGTCAGGCACTAGGTCACAAATGTGAAATATCCAGACAAATCAAACTCCCTAATCATTAACCCATAATAAGGCACTCACTAGATGCCCCCCATCATAGAAGAGTGCAATAAACAAACATTATTATTAACCCAACTTTTGGTATGTACTGCAGAATCTATAGGATTAATCATTAATCGTAATAGGAATTAGCAAAAAAGGTACAGTTGTTTGGAGTACCAGTTTTACCCTGTCTTCTTTTCAATCACAATCAGTGAGACTACCACAAAACTCCACACACAAAGCACCACCACTGAACTTGTCGTCATCTGCTGTCCATTTGATGTTCTCTCGCTCATTCTCATTTTGTTCAGTAGCTAAGGCTCAGAAATTTGCATAAGCCAAAAATTCATCTCACAAATCTCTCAGCTCTTGAGATAAAGTTCTTAAATTGTAGCTTTTGGATCAGACATATTTTCTTTCATGTATTTTGCATGCAAGACATGTACGAGTGCATTTTGTTCCAGGAGGTAAGCCGTTTTCCCTTCTACAGTCTATTTAAAATATATCTAGTACAAGGCCGTTCTGTACCTGTTGATATGCCACACAAACAATATTTTCACAACACTGTATATGGTTGATTTGGACTTCCCAATTTTTGTTTTTTTTTCAAAACATTTTACCTGTGTACACTCTAGCTTTCCAGAACACAACAGGTACCTGAGGAATGTGTTTGAACCAACAATATACAATGATTAAAACACCTTGTCTAACAAAACTTAGACAAGAACTGTGTTTTCAGAATCCTTTCTAAAAGATGATGGAAAAACTAATTACAAAAAAAAAGAAGGCCATAATATACAATGTTGCATGTTGAAGTTCCCAGACTCTATAGCTGATTCCAATCATGTGATAGCTGATGAATTATTTGGCAACTGTCTTCCTGGAGGAGTTCACAGATCTTTTCTATATCTTCTATTGTTTTGCTTGTGATTGGTCACTCAAAATGCTCAATGTCTTGAATCAACATGTGTTGGTTTAAGTTGGTTTTTGTTTAATGGTATATCAACCACTATGGGTTGTTTAATACCAAAATCTAAATATTTTGTATATAATTTTTTTTTTTTAGATAATAATGATTTTAGTGATACAGGTCTTATGAATTAACCCATAGCTGGGGAGAGAAGAGGTGGATTCATGCCTTTCCCAAAGGTATTTGTACGTAAGTGAATATAACGAAACCAGCTGGAATTGGAACAAGGCTCTCCGATTAAAAATTCCAAGCCATTATCCATTACATTACCCTTACATCTATGCTTACAGCACCTGGTATTACCAAGTAGTCACCTATCTGGGTACTGACCAGATACAACGTTACTTAACTTCAGTGATCATATGGGAACTGCTGTTTCAGCCTGATATGGCTGTAACTATGTTGTTGGTTCAAGACATTGAACATTTGAGATAATGTTCACCAAAAGCCTAAGAAAGTAGAAAATTTGCTGAACTTTAATGCAGGCATGTTGCTGAAATTTGTTGGCTACTGTAAAGATTTCAGAACCATTCCAACACAATGAACATAACTGAACATGAACAAATCGCATGAAACCTATTTGCAGACTGACTCAGTAGGTTGAGGACCAATGAGCATTAGTCACAAGTGCATTTTTATAGAATGATACATACATATAGAAAACTTTCTGAGGTTTCTTTTGTCAGCATATGACTATTATGTAGCAGTCATTGTACCATAAAATCACATTCCTTCAAGCTTATATATATATATATATATATATATATATATATATATATATAAAAATCTCCTTTCACAACTTCCTGTCTATTTTCCATTTGATCTTGTGGGCCTTTCCCTCATTTTTCTTTGGCAATGTCTTCAGAATCAATAGAGAAACTGGCAGCAAGGTTCCTCAATCAAAGTGCTTCATGGCAGGGCTTAAATGTAGAAAGAGGCAGACCATTCGCTTCAGCTCCCACCTTGAGATAAATGCATTTATATATGCCACCTGGGTAGATTCAAATTACATCTTATATACAGGTATTCACTTGCATACATGCCAGTTGTTTTGATTTTATTTTTACATTGAATTACATACATGAATATATATATGGATAAATCTGTGTGTATATTTTATTTATATATATATAAATACCTCCAAAAGTTTGCTAAAAATAAGCATACATGATTGAAATTTCCACAAACTTAATAAAAACAAAGTTATTTACACTATTTACATTGTTCAGTTTTATTGTTCTCATCTTTATTATCATATTCCCAATGTTTCAACCATTGTGCACTCTGTCCTTCTTCAGGTGATATATGTTGGAATTTCCAATCAAACCCTTTATTTCGTGCACTGGGGTAGATTGTTCTAATCAAAATCTTTGTGTCATTATTAATAGGAAAGACCAAAGGATTTTTTTCATTAATAAATTATATTTTTTAATTCTTTTCAGAGCCTTTGGAATTTTGGTTGTGTAAGTGGCTGACCATTAATTAGTATAGGAAATTTTAGCATCTTTTGTTGGTGAAAAAGACATTGATTTTGAAATCCTTGAAAAAATCAAATAATTGTATGACTGTAATGAAACTTAAAAAATTTATTCACAAATGAATGAAATTATTTTTTAAATGTTTCTTTTTTTTTTAGAAAATCTTGGTAAAAATATTTTTTATACATCTGTCACCTCCCACTTCTTTAATTTTATCGAATTTTGAGAAATTCTTTTTTGTGCAACTTAATGCTTATATTAGTTTTAACCAGAAGTCCATAAATTATTAATTTTTTTTATGAAACAGGACCCACAGTTACCAAAAATCTACTCTGAATTGTAAAATAAAAAATGCATTAAAGCTAAGATATTATTTAATTAGAAAGACTTTTAATTGCTTTTATGAATACAATACATTATGGACACTGTTGTATTAAAAAAATTTTTTTCAAGGAATAATAATTTTTTACAAGAATTGTTTTCAATTTTTAAAAATTTTAATTTGAATAATTTATAAAGTTTTAAATCTTTTAAACTTTTGTATCAATTTGTAGTGATTAGGTGATATTGTTATTAAGTAAAACTTATATTTTCTAATCCTAAATGGAAAAGTTTAGTACAATTCAGTGACCCTCGGTATTTTAAAAAATATTTTGAATTTATTGTGTATGTATAAATGTCTGATTTTTTAAATACAGACATCCATATATGACGATATCACAAAATAAGAACAGTAACTACAGTAAATTTAAAACCAAAGTGTTCAAATGTAATAAAACATCAGATTATAGATTGTTTTAAGATTCCTATATATTTAGAAAAAATATTTAAAAAGCTGCTCATGCTATATTCAAGTAATTTTTACAGATATGTCCCCCATAGGAAAAAAATCAGTTAAATGCCTGTCTGTCAATAAAGCATTCTGAGCAATGAATCAGTCTAAGTGATTTTTATAGACTTTCAGAGAATTAAAGTTTTTCCCATTTAGAAAATTTTGTATGGATAAAAATTAATGATTATCTGAAAGGGTAAGGCTAAATGAGTATAGCAGGTGTAGATTAATAGAGTAGAGTAGGTGAATCCAATCTCCTCAAAGATGAAGCAACAGAAATATGGTTCTACAGAAAGATACTGAAAATACCATGGACTGAATATGTGAGCAACAAAGAGGTTTTGAAGAGAATGGAAAACAAAAAGGAAACATATACTTAACATCAGGAAGTGGCAGTTGAAATATCTGGGGCAAATAATGAGGAAGAAGGACTTGGAAAATTTAATACTCACAAGACAGAGGGAAAGAGGAACCGATAAAAACAGCACTGAACATACTTGATGGGTATCTATATTTCTGAGAGGAAGTATTGTAATTATTTACATTGTTCAGACTGTTGTGCTCATCTTTATTTTCATGATGTTTTGGCCATTGTATGCTCTGGCCTTCTTCAGGTGATTAGGCAAGGACACATGGATCCAGTGACTTGACCCAGAGAGTTGTGAGTTCAAAACCTGGCTACAGCAGTGGCAAACAAAAACTTAAAGTATTGAGTTAAAGGGAGATAACTGAGATATCTGGAAGAGGCATGGCACGTGGAACTAGAACAATCTATCCTGGTAGATGAAATAAAGGGTTCAGTTTGATAATTCTAATCATCTGAAGAAGGCTGAAGCATACAGTGGCCGAAGAATTGTGAAAATGACAATAAAAGTGAGGATAATAGTCCAAACAATGTAAATACTTGATGAGCATGAACAAATGGATGGCAGAAAAGAGTTTAGGAGAAATAACAAAAAGACAAAACTTATTAAGAGCTACAAGGAACAGGAAGATGTGGAGGGCCATGATTGCTTACGTCCTGAAGGGACATGGCACATAAAAGAAGAAGTTGGACATCCCATCCAAGCTGTATGAATTTCTACCAGTCTTGCAGAGGTCTGTCATTGTCTTGATGGAAGACAACTCTCTTTTAATTTGGTCAGTTCCAGATGCTTTTCATTGATTGCTGCCTTTAATTGGTCCAACTAGGAACAGTTCTTGTCTGAATTCATTGCCTGATTTTCTGGAAGGAGCTTGTGATGCACAATACCCTTTCAGTTCTCCTGGATATAGAGCACCACCTTCCTCAGATGAAGACTGGCTTTTATAGTAGTTAGAAATTGCTCATTTCATTTTTCACTCTATATTATTGTAAACAATCTATTTTTCATTACCTGTGATTATTCTCTTCAAAATATAGTTCATTAATTGTTAAATCATGAGACACCCAAACAATGTAGCACTTCACATATCAAAGTGTTTTCAAATGCTTTACAACAATTTTATGAGATATGTGGAGTATCACCCAATTGTCTTGTGCCAGGTGACCTAGATTATTTTTAATCAGTATTTCAATTTGATCATCAATAACTGCAGCTCTGCCGGAATGTTCTCAGTCTTCCAAATGAAACTTTCCACCTCATGAACCACTTATGAACAGTACTCTCAGTTATGACACCATGTCTATAAATGACACACATCGTTTTTGCTGTTTGTACAGTGCTTTTTTTTAATTTCATTTTCCTTTATTTTCATTTTAATAGAAAGACACATTGAAATGTCACCTTTCAGAATATCTATATCAGAAATTACCATTCCATAAGAAACAAGAACATATTTCAATGTCACCTATTTTAAAATACCAGAGTCTTTTGGTCCAACCCAATAAAATACTAGGTGAAAAACTACATCAAGGCCTCTGATCAGGAGGTTTTGAGGAGCATGGGACCACCTCTTAATTGCTGTTGTTCCCAGGTCAAAAACACTATGAAAGTATAGAAATAGATTTTTATATGAAAAAATACCAGCAATGCATTTAAAAAAAATATATATATATATTACCATCAATATATATGACTCTCAGCAAAAACCCTTTTTAGAAAAATATATCAATGAAACCTGATCTACAAACTGATTTCTCACAAATAATACATATTCTATTCATACAAACATATCCTAAAAATCTTGTCTGCATTAAGTAACCCATTGAGGTGTTGATATGCCGTAAAACAAAATAAACCAATAAACCCAATATCCAACAAAAAGTGATTTCTTTTTCTCTTTTTTTTTTTTTTAAGTATTTCTCGTCTGTAAAAGCTAATAATTTTATAAAAAGGTGATATTTTGATTGCAATTCTATTCAGAAAGGGTCATAGAATCCAATGCAGCTGATTTCCATTTAAAAGATAAAACGCTATATTTAACAAAGTTGGATTTTATTTTCCTGCCATTTCACGGGAAACGATCAAATAAAACTTTAATCATTGTGTAGAAATTGAAGTTGAATTGTGGGTTTTATTTTGGTAGGAATGTCTTTGAATAAGTTCATCGCCACAAACCACCATTTCTGTTGCAATGTTATTTCTTTTCTCCTCATCCTAAGCTGAATTACTGAGACAGGCTGCCAAACAGACAGACAGATTGGTTAATGGAAGGACAAGGCTAAAATAAAACTGGTCAGCCTTGCTGCATACAAATGATTGATTGCACCTGTCCCTGTCTGTCTGGATATATCACTGCAAAATGACTAAATTATCCCTGTGGCCATGGCAGTGTTGTCCTGAGAAATCCTGGCTCAAAAGATGACACTTTCAATCGAAAAGCCTAATAAACTGTCTTCTCATTAGATCCAAATGTAATTTTGGCAAATGAGATCTTTGTCTCACAGGGACCTCACACAAGAGAGGAAGATGGTGGGGGTCTAAAGAAAGGCGGAGGTGGAAAGGGAAAGATGGCAGAAAGAAGAGGAGTAAGAAAAGGCATAAATGGTGAAAGTGAAGGATTGGTAAGAGAGGAAAGTAGGAAGAAAAAAAGAATAAAGAAAATCAAAATAAACCATGAAATTTTTTTCAATTCAAAAAAAGATCTGAGTCAGTTGTAAATAA